GTTTCTGCTCTCACAGCCACCGTGCAGTGGCACCCACAGGAAACCTTTAGCCAAGGCTAAACTGCATGACCCAGCCCGTTTGCTCTGCTTTGCCTAAAACTAGGCCCAGAAGTCTCCCTTTCCTGACGTGGGTGGCTGGTGCCCCTCGCACAGGGATTGCACAGTGGGTCTGTGGTGGAGATCTGGTTGAGACAAGGCACTGGAGCTCTCTCCTCCTCCCACACAGTACCGTCTCCATGAGATAACTGCCTGCCTGGCTGAGCAGGACCCTGCCCACCTTCCTTGGAGGTGATGGATGCACCAGGTTTTTGGCCATTTTACTGAGCAGGTTTGCAGCCAAGACGGAGTTTGAGAGGCTCTGGCACTGACAAGGGCAGGAGGAGCCCAGAGCACACAGGCAAACGAAAGGGGCTACTTGTTTTGCTTCAACTGCCAGTTGCCGCTGGCTGGAGCGAGGGACTTTCCGAACCGCTGAGGCGTAAAACCACTAATAGCTCGGCTTTGATCCCCCTACTTTGAAAGGAGTCCTGAATTTTCCAAAGCAACCAACTCTCATCAGAGGTTGGAGGCAGCTGCCTTTGCCCATTTTCACTTTGGTTGGGAGCTCTGCACCATGTATCTGGAAAAGCCCAACTAAATGTAGGAACCCCGGTTTTGGATGACTGGGCTTTTGGCTGCTTTTGGAAACAAACTACCATGGCTTCCCAAGATATTTTGGTGGCTGCTGGCCACCTTAGTCCACAGTAACCATAAGGGCTTTGTGCAGAAGCATTTCTGTAGCTTCCATACTGGGAGGTGTAGTGTTGGCTGCCCTTCCAGAGTCTCTAGCTTTCTGAGCCTTGCCTTTCCTTGTTACCTGTCCTTTGGACATTAAAGCAGTTGGTTTGCTGAGGACCTTGCTCCACAGAAAGGGGCTGCTGTTGCTCCCTGCCATTGCTTGATGTTTTTAAGGCAGAGAAAAGCTCTTTGCCCAGCTCACGCAAAACCAGCAGAAGAAATGCAGAGTTTCCAGGTCACACTGTTCTTGAGAGATGAGGCAAAAAGCAATAACAGGTTAGAAGACTCTTGAAACATCTAGCAGTGAGAGGGCCAATGCCCAAGCATTGCACATCCCAGAAAACTGAATCTTCTTTCTTGTGGCTTGGAAACACCTCATCCGACCTGCATTCTGATGTGGCAGATCCCTTCTCACAGGGCTCTTGATGTTTGCAGCCAGTGAGCCCATGGGTAAGCTGATGCTTGTTTGGGGGAAGCATAGAAGGAAAGATTCACCTCCAAGAAAGAAACCATACCACTGAATCCATCCTATCTGCTCTGCCTCTCCTGAGCATTTCCAGGCTTTTTCTTTCCATGCTCCAGTGGAGTCTAATCCTGCATACAGAAAATTCCTCATGCGTTTTGCTCTTATTCCTTCAGGGCATCTGTATTCTCTTTCATTCTGTCTGGCTGTTCAACAGCCTGAACTCAGTTACTCTAATCCCTCCATCTCCAGTGATGTTCTCAGCTCCACATAATAAATATTAACAGCTTACACGTATCTTGGGGTTCTTATGCAAGGGCTCCAAATAGCTTTATGGTTCATACGCACATGGGGCTCACTTTATTTGCCAGCAAAATGCAGCCACTGATGAGACAGCAGTTGTTTAGCAACCTACAGTGACAACACACAATAGTTAAGACAGGAAGTGAAGATAAATATCGTATCCATTTGAAACTCCAGGAGGGGATTGGAGTTGGCAGAATACAAGTACTCATGCTGAATTTTAGCCAAAATGCTCCGAATAGCATTCCTATGCTTGCAGAAAGAGCTATAGGATTTAAAATACCTAACCTATCCCTGGTGGTTTATTTACAATTCCCGTTAATGGCGTGGATGTTTTAGGATGCCAATGATGCTCTTTACCCAAGAAAGGTGTCACTTGAGTAATAAACTATACAGGATTACTCTAAAGCCCTTCCTTAGACATTCTAAGAAAGGAAAAATCAGACTATTTTGTATAAACAGCTATCTATTAGCTATCAAATTAAATGATACATCTTTTAGGCAGATTCACCCTTCAGCTATGGCTTTCTCCACTCTGCGACAACAGGACGCCAATTGTGGCATTTTTTCAGTGGTGCCACAAACCCTTCTGCTATCTCCTAACACTGTCAAAACCTTAATGTGGTGGAAAAAAACAAGGGGAACACATTCCTCCCTCTTCAGAGCATGGCAGCTGAGGGAGCAGAGACTCTGGTTGAGGATGCTACATTACCCTTGCATGGTGCAGGGAGCACTGATGGCACTGACATGGCCTTCTCTTTCACACAGCTCTTTCTGAAGGTCCTTACAGGCAGTGGGGGGCTTACAAAGCCCTTTCCAGTCTTTGCTGGGTTTTCTTCACACTCCTTGGTGTGCAGTGAGGCACACATAGCTTCAGTCCTCCCTAAGAGCATCTAAAGGCTTTGCATCATCTTCAGCCCTGCCGAATCCTCCACACGCCGCTTCAGCCCGGCTGCCTGCCTGCTTACCTCACTGCCTGCCCACAAGAACTGGGGCCAGGACCTTCTCCTAGCCTGTCTCACCGGCCAGAGCACCTTTAATGACCCTCAGCCAATGCCCACAGCTCAGGGACATGCGGACATGCAGAGCATTCCCGCTGCTCATGTTCCAGGGATAGGGCTTCTCATTTCTACCCTTGTCTTGCAGGGGGATAGCTCTTGAAAAAGAAGATTAGCTGCCTTTATGGCAGACTTATTGTGCATAGTCAGATTTTAATTTGCCAGCTCCTCTCCAGCAGTCCTGTGGAGCGTAGCTGCACTGTTTTTCTCTCTCTCTGTCTAGGACTTTACATTTCTAGTGGTTTTGAATTTCACTACACTGCAAAAAGGCCCCTGCTCTTGTTTCTCCAGATCACTCTGTCCTATTCCATCCACTCCTTCATTTTAGAGGGGCAGAGGAGAGAAGGTTTTTCCGCTGATTTTACTGCCTGCATCTTCTCATCGCTCCCTGAGAACGATATTAAATACCAATATTCGCTCATGAGCCTCCTTCCCCTGTACACAATGTTCAGTTTGTTTCTTTGACCCAGAATCCTAAGCCATGGCTTACGTAGCATGTACAGAAAAACCATTTTCCTCAACTTTTTCCCAGTGGCTGTACAGACACAGCTTAGTGTGATCCACCCGCTCCTACCCACTTTATTTTTTTGTACTTCCTAAATTGGCAATGATGCCAAAGGATCAGTTTGTTTTGCATGATCTGCTTTATATAAGCATGTTTGGCAATTCTTAAACTTTTATCTGGAGCATCCACTTGCTGGAATATTTCCCATTGGAACTGTTCTCGGTATAAGTTCGCAAATACCATAGATAAATGTGATGGGGGAATAAGCAAGAAAAACTTGTTTATACAGCTATTGAAATTTGTGCCAGGTTAGGGAACACAGAATAGGATAAAACCTTTTCAACTCCATTTTAGTCCATACCAGGATCACACTGTCCTATTAAATAGCCACACAACAATCTGGAGGATACGGTCCCCAGGTCAAATGACATTTCGGAGCAGCTCTGCACAGCAAGGCCAGGCTGGGCTCAGATACCTGAACTCCCTGCTCCTCGCAGGGCAGAGGCAAGGGCAGAGGACAGGGTTGAGGGACAGCCAGCCCCTGCCTTGTTCAGCCTTGGGGACAAGGCACCAAACCTCACACAACTCTGCTGCCTTTGTCTCCACACCACTGAACGCCACCTCCCTGGCGGGGCTGGAAGGGTCTCAACTGGAGGTGTCTGTGCTGGCACATTCAGCACACCCAGACTTCCTGGGAACTACAGGGGGGCAGGGAAGCACAAGCTTCTGCAGGCAGCCCAGCAGCACCCAAAACCCCACAGGGCAAAGCCGTGCCAGTGGTACCTGGAAGGGGCAGTGGCAGAGAGCCACCCACCTACATGCAAGGGATTCCTGTTGTGCCTTCCAAGGAAACAGGCATTTCTCACAGCTCTGATCCTGCCCACGTATTTCTCAGTGAACTCAGGTCTTGCCTCGGGGCATTCAGTACAATTTCATTTATCCAAAGGGATGAATCCTCTTCTTCTCCTTTCCAAGCTGGCATGCCACAGGTGCCTTGAACCTGCACACATCAGGGTTTGGCAACACACTGGCCTTAACTGTAGCATCCATCCCCTGCTACATCATCCTTTTCCTCTCCCACTCGCCTTCTTCCTAAGGTGACAAGCCTGAAAACAAAAATACATCTAGGAAGGAACCCAGGCCAGTTCTTTCACTTGCCCCTTCTCCTCTATTCCCTCTAGCCTTCTCGTGTCTTTGCCTGGTGCCTCATCACAACTCCCCGCTGAGGTACCAGGCGCTGCGGCACAGCGGTCAGACCCCCCCCAAGGCCTCCCGTGCTTGCTGGGGAAAGGCAGAGAGGGAGGCGGGCTGAAGGGGACGGCTGGAGGAGAGAGGGAAGAGCCTCGCTTGCCGCCTGCCGTCAGAAAGCTGAACTGAAGATCGCTGTGACCCCGAAGCCTCCACCAGCTAGTCCAGCCCTCGGCTCGCCCGACGTGCAGCCAGCAGACCAGCAGGAATCCTCCTCTCCTCCCTGCACACCTCCTCGCTCTGACACGAGGGTGCGCATCTGCATCTTCAAGGCATCACGATATGGTTGTGCATTCCAGCGGTGCACTACCAGGTAGGTGCCTGTACAGGAAAACTGCATTACAAACTCTACCTGCCATATACAATTTTCCAGATGGCCTGCATTAAGGGAAATAATGTGCATTTTACCTAGAAAAAACAATAACCTGAACTTATAATTTAACTCCAAGCCATAATTCAGTGCCAAAGCTCAGCAAATAAGTAAGCAAAGAGCTTATGCTTTTAAGTCACCAGCAAGGGCTCAGGCCACTTTACAGCAGAAGCTTGCCTGCTGCAAGGTGCAACCCTCTATTCTGGAATAGAGGGTCTCACCAGGAGCTGTCACACCCACGCATGACATTATAAGGAAGAGAGCAAGCCACATAGGTGCCAATGACTGTAGCTATAAGTTATTTATTCTGCAAAATAGAGGTATCTTCTATGGAGTTGAACACTGGAATCACAGCATTATGAATTGAGTTGTGGAAACTTTATGACAACACACACGCAGGCACACGTGTACACCTACACACACACACACACACAGCCTTTGTACAGGCCTCGCCTCTTGCACTATCCAGAAGGAGCCCTCTCTGCATCTTTATTTGCAAAAACCTGCAGCGAGGGTTGCATTCAAGACCCCTTCCCCTGTTCTCAGGGCTTCCAAGGGAATGAGGCTGGTCAGGATTGGGAGCATGGCACAGGCAACACGTGTGTAGTGCACAAGCTCCTCGGCCCAGTGTCCAGCACATCCTGTGTAGGAGTTAGCTCTGGGCAGAACACAGCCCTCAGTGGAGCACTCACTCTTTGCCTCAGTCTTTGCTCTCGCAGCCGAGCTTCAGGTGTCTGCAGGAGGCAGATCACCATGTTAGGACACAGTCAGTGCTCCCTGCTCGCCATGGTCCATGTTCCAAAGCCGGTAAAACTCTGCAAAATCCACGTAGGGCTCCACACGCCCATCCTCATCTGGCTGGAGTGAGTGGGCAGGCCGGGAGCGGAACAGACCTCCATCTGAACTTGAGCTGCTGCTCTGTGTGTGAGTATTAGTTGACTGGAGCGTCACAGTTGGGCTTTGGCTATGGAGAGAAAAAGAGAGAACACAACCACCTTTATGTTAGACAAGAAAAGCACCAGAACAAACACCAGTTTCTTCACAGATCAAGCTATCCTAGCAAACAGTTGCAGTCACTTGCTCTATGAGAACACTAGTAGACTTGAGAGCTGATTGGAATTGACAAACATCAAAGATATCTGATTCACATTAACTCGAAGGCCTTAAATACAACCAGGCATCTGATGAACAGAGGAGAGGCAGCAGAAAAAAAAAAAAAATTAAAAGAAGTCCAAAAAAAAAGGCATGCACTCTGCCAGCCTCCCCATACCTATAACAGTGCAAGCTTTATGGGAAGTCAGGTAGCAAGGAAAGCTATTTTTGTGTGACCTGTGCTGCAGCCAAAGCAGCTCTGGTGTGTCAGCTTCATTGTTTCTGGAGCTACAGAACACAATACCCACAGCACTGCTTCACTTTGCAGTGTGTACACACACCATCCTGCGACAAAGGCTCAACCTAAACCACAGCCACTAAGTAGTATGGTCCCGCAAAGTGGATCCAAATAGGACCCAGTTCTAAGCTTTATACACTTTTTTCCTGGCCTCTGAGGCAGTGCAGCCTCTCCAGCAGCCTTACAGGTGGCCTGCATAGTCTCTCTTCCTCACTAAAACGAAGGGCACCCACACTCCCTCTGTGCACAGTACCCAACACACTTGGCACACAAGATCCAAAGAGAAGGGCTGCTCGCTGCCAGTGCCCTCCACGAACAGCAGCAGATGCTGCTCCCAAGGCATGTTGCCAGAGCTGGCTTCAGAGCTGCTCGCTTCACTCATTCCTACTCCTCACACAATCACTTTCCAGCTAACACAATTTGCTGGCTGTCAATACTGCAGTCAGGGGGGCCATGCTACAGATAAGGGAATGACTGACGGGTAACTGACAGGTGTCTCTGCTTTGCAACCACTTTACACCGTGTGAGGTGCAGGAAAAACTGTGAGTAGCAAGAGAGCAGGACTTTACTTAGTGAGGGTAGGGGTGGCTTCATCCAGAGTTGAGCTGCTGTGGGCACCATTGACCATCTGGCCTTGGGAAGGCATTACAAGAGACAGCGTGACACTTGTCTTGCTTGTGCTTTGGGAGCTGGAATATGGCACAGAGACTGGGTAGACACGGCCTCCTGAGAAGGGAGAAAACAGAAGTTATAAAATGCAGTTGAGACATGAGCAACTGAGGGTGCAGCACAGCAGCAAAGAGGGCCCAAAGAACCCAAGAATTTATTTGAAAGTGCCTTTATTAGATGCTGTACTGTATTCTATAAAATTGTCACAGACTCCACATGTCAAAAGCCAATAATCTGTTTAATAAGAAAATTCCTTCTACCCCAAGTACCTCCTCTCCTGATATGAGGTCAGTTCTGGATCAATCAAGACATCTTATCTTCCCCCCCTCCATTTTGTCTCATTCTCCCCCCAACACACCTTGCGTTGGTGTCAGTGTGGGCTGGCTCATCTCACCCAGGGGGTACCCAAAATTCCTCACAAGCAGCGTCATGTCTTCATGACGGGGACAGAACTTGGACCGCTCCCCACCACTGGCAAAAGTGTCACAGTGGATCCGCTTAACCCGGTCCACTACTGCTTGTGCCACAGCATCCAGAGACGTCTGCTTGGCAAACTCTGTGGCTATCATGGCTGCAATTTCCTGAGCAGAGAAGGGAAAAAAAACATCAGAGGAAGGATGTTTAGGAGATTTTGAAGGAAACCTTTTCCTGCCATCTGATCTAAGAGTTTTTATGGCAACTCATCTGACTGTGAAGCTTGCCCATCTCACCTGCTGATATGTGCCCTTGTGTCTTGAATCATCCCACTCCCTTTTAATGGGCTACTCTTAAGGGACAGGCAGCTGCGTAGAAGAACTGGCTCGGCAAAGCAGCTCCCATACTATTATAGACTGGAATGTGGTGGTACAGGCATTCAACCTGGGCAGCACTGACAGGACATATGAGGAGGACAATCTATAAGGGAGCAGCTGAAGTGAGTCAATAGCCCAGGGAACGTTTCCTGTGTGAGCCAGCTCACCTGGTTGGCCTGCCCTGGCCCATGAGCTGCCTCCAGCGCTTTGTAGAGCCCTTCAGACATGAGCACCAAGAAGCCAGTCACCCCATCCAGCGAGTGCCCTCCGTGGATTTCAGGCTCTGCTATGATGGGCTTAGATTTAGCAGCACTGGAAAGAGACGGTGTTATTTAGCATTTAATGGTGACATATGCAGTGATGGTGTGAATGGAGTGATCATGAAGAAAAGGAGGGCTTGAAACTCCAAAGCTGAGTTTTTCTGACCTGAGCAGTTCAATGTCAGTATAGCCGTATTTGACTTTGTAATCTCCAATGCGTCGAGTGCTTTCCTGCCCACGAATAGTTCCCACTTGTTTTATTTTCCCTGCATCCAAGCCTGCCAGATTGAAAACCAAAAATGTTTAATTAACTTTGTGAAACTTGGAGAACTTCCTCTGAGAAAAGAAATATCTACAGCTAAATAGAACTGTAATACAAAAGAAGATGCTGAAGATTCATCAGGAGCCATACAGGGAGAAAAGGAATAGCAGTTTGCTGTGTTCCAAGGGACACCTTTTCATTAGTTGTGATCTGGGAAGGAGAGAAAAGGGGGGAGACATGTGCAGCCCAAAAGGCACACTGAATGCAACAGCTGGCCCCGAGACAAAGCCCACATCCTGGTCCAAAGCCACCAGCAGCAGCTGGCCTGGGCACTCAGGCATTTGCCGAAAAGCCAGGAGAACATCTGCGCCTGTCAGCTCTGGTCTGTGTGATGGGAGGAGAAGGCAGGAAGGAGGAAAACATATGTGAAGGATTCTGCTTCTTCTTCCGTCTATTATTGATCCCTGTCCCTAAGCTCCATATGACAATTTCCCTAGTACGCTAGACTGCAGAGAGAGGTTGTGGAGTCTCCCTCATTGGAGATATTCAAGAACCATCTGGATGCAAACCTGTGCAATGTGCTCTAGGATTGCCCTGCTTGAGCAGGGAGGTTGGACCTGATGACCCACTGTGGTCCCTTCCAACCTTACCCAGGTTGTGATTCTGAGATTCTGAGAAATCTAGAGTCTAGAAGAGACACTGAATTTGCTCAAGTGCTCAAATTGATGTGGGCTGCTCCTAAGCTAAGAACAATAACCAAACAAATATTTATGAATTTAAGGGATATACCCCTGGCAGGGGCTAGGAAGTAATCCCAGCTTGAAGAAGGTTCTAACAGAGACCATCTGGGTGCAGCTACTGTTTGAGGCAGGACTCAGACCAGATGAGCCACTTACCTGGCAACCCCCCTTTCCTGGTTATACCTAGAGCTACAGCCAGAAAACACTGAGATTTTATCTAGGGATGACTGTCCTCAATACAAGGTGAAGGCAGGGGTCCAACTGAAACGCTCCCTTTGAGTCAAACCAAGCCTCGCTGCACAGATGGCTCCACACCTACCCCAGCAGTAAGACACAACTCCTCCATCTGCTGCAGACCACAGCTGACTCATCAACACGGCCTGGCTCATTTGCCAGCTCTGGGCAGGGGGGTACATGCCACTGACAGACACAAACACAGGGAGGCCCAGAGCACACTGGAGAGGTTGTGTCTAAATCACTCTCCCAGAGCACCAAACAAGTTGTGATGTGCTGGGTGAAGAGCCACAAAGGCACAAGACCTCTCCCTTCCTTCTCCAAAGGGGTGACACAGGGACCATCATGACAAATGCTATCTCCACTACCTCTTAACACTGTGCTTCGACCTGGCCCTACAACCACCTCCTCTGGGCCCCCAGAACAGCCTGTGCACACTGTCCTGTTCCACAGGCTCTTCCTTCTCCTGGGACTGCAGGCAGGAGCGCCACTGCTGTGCCAAGTTAAGGTCAGTATATCTAACAGATCCCTGTCCTCCTATGGACTGCAGCTAAATTCTGCATTTTTGGTAGTAGAAAGGCAATCAAAAGGTCTCCTTCCCAGGATTCCTTCATTCAGTCTTCTGTTTCACAGCACATATCCCTAGTGCAGGAATAGGAGTAAAAGAGGAAATTACAGAGAAATAGAATAAAACAAGATCCAGCAGCAGAAATTACCACATCAACAGCCTCACCAGATAAGAATATATCTGCCAGGTGAACCTAATGAAGAATGCCACCTTAGATCTACCTAAATAAAAGTACAGAACCTAAGTATCTCAATAAGAAGAATTTGGTACTAGCTATCACACAAGTGGTCTGGGTTAGCTCTACACCAAGAAAGAACACATGTCAAACACTGTAAATGAAAAGGGAAATTGCCTAAAGCAAAATGTCAGCTCAATAGTTACTGATGTGAGAGCAGTAAATGCCAGTGCTTGGCCTGCCTCTCTCTGAAGTGAAGCTACTTTTTTGCAGCAGCAGCTTGTACAAAGGCATATTGAAACGTACCATCCTGAGGGTGCAGCATCACACAGAACTTAACCCAGCTCAACTGTGGTTTGCCTCCACAGGAGCACTCATATACTGTCCACTTCACTTCTACCCTCTGGCTGTGTGCTTCCTCTCCTGCCTTCCTATTGACTCCAGCAATCACACAGCTGGAGGGCAAATCAATGCCAGTTTGGCAGCAGGACACTAAACTACCACTCGAAACTTGAATCAAAAGGATAGTTTTCTACTAGGTCAGTGAGCTGAGCTTATTCACTCTATAGCCTCAGAAAGGCACAAAAAGAAGGCACTGAACTTGTTATCTGAAAACATAGTAAGCTTCTTTTTGTGGTCATTTATTGTTTCCAGTGGCTTGAGTCATTCTTGGTGCCCCAGAAAAACAGAGTCATGCGATGTTCTGCGCTAAGAACGTGAAACCCAAACTCACCCAGCTGAGAGAAGCGAAAAAGTTCATCCTCATTCTCTGTCGTATGGTCCACGTTGAGCTGAGTCACTTGCAGCCCATCCACCGTGGACTTGCACAGCAGTGCCCGATTGGTACCTGCAGTGGGAGCAGCGAGATGAGGCACCAGATAGCTCTGCCGTTAAGAGGGAGAACATATCCCAGTGGAAAAGGAACAGACAGGGGAATAAAGACAGAAAAGAAGAGAAAGGCTCATGTACTGTCTCATCGTGATCTTCAAAAAGTACACTTGCTAGCAGCAGAGTAGGCCTGCTAGGCAGCTCTTCATCCAGACCTGAGCCAGTACCTCACAAGAAAGTTCCCTATATTTCTCAGTGAACCTGCACCACTTCTCTCAACCCACTTTCCCTCTGTTCTTTGGTCATACAGCCAACCTCTGTAGGGATAGAGCCAGGTTGATTTCAAGTGCTCCTGTAAGTAACAAGCATATCACTGCTTGGTCACACAGACCAAAGAACCTGTCCCCCACATTCAAATTTCTTTTACTTCCTACAACAGCTGCCATCCTCAGGAATGCCAAGAGTGAGCCACTGACAAAAACCAACTCACCCACATTGGCAATGTAGAGCTTGTTGTTGAGAACGACAGCCACAATAGCCATGGCTCCTCCAGAGATCTCCTGCTCTACAACCTTCAATCTCTCCACAATCTTCTGGTACTGAGAAGGGAGCTGGTGGTGAGGGACACCCTGGAACCCAAAATGAGGGAGAAGCTTGAACACACAGTCCACAACACAGAAATCACAGCTGAAATAAAAATTCTGTAGGGAGGGGACTTGACATGTCTTAGCTTTGTGTCAAGCTTGTGCAAGACACAGTATTTTTTGTTCAATCCTAGCAAATGACACGGCTTCAATAAGGTTCTGGAGCAGACAGTCCAGTACACCTGAAGAACAGAACACACAGTTGCCCAGATGCCATGCAAATTCAAGGCCTTGCCTCTCCTCTGCATCGTATGGCTTTGCTCTGGAAGAGTCACATGTACAGCCTGAACTCCTCTCCATGATACACTCAGTTCCTTACTCAGATAACCAATGATGGGTCTAAGTAGTGCCAGTATGAACAGTGGGAACTCTGGGAAATGGACCAAAGGGCTTGCTTCACTTCATGCAAGCTCACAGAAGAGAACCACAGAGAAGTAATTTTCACTTACAGCCTCCCTTGACCAAACTGACTAATATGCCCAAACCTTATCCAGCAATCTGGAGCATGGGATCTCTCTATCAATCTCTGCTCTTAAGGTTACATTACCTCTGGTAGCTGGGACTGCAGGCTGGCTTTCTCTGCCAAGGCATCGTCAATGGACTCCAGGAAACTTCTTTCCACCACATCAAAAGCCTAAAAAAAAGGTCATAAAGAAAAACTAAGCTCTTATCCAATGCCTACCGACCTTTGAAGCTACCCATCCCCACCTATCTAAGACTGGCTCGTAAGAGTGGATGATCATTGTACGTACAGACATTCAAGGATCATTACATCACATTGAAACACAATTGTTTCAGTGCAACTAGTTAACAGCTTGTAAAAACAGCCTGCAACAACTCAAAACCATAAAAATTACATTCACAGGAATGTCAGAGACCTATCTGATCTTGTGTGTTGATTTTAAGAACTTGCCTTTCACTCAAGAAAGCACACTCACAAATCCATCTCCCTACACATTAACTTCTCCCTTTCACTCACTATCGTCTCCCTCACAGGCTGACTTGTTCCTACATGTCCAAGGAAGAGTAGCTGCAGCTTCTTGGAGAGCTCTCAGCACTGTGCTGACAGAGCCAGAGGGACAGATGGGTTTGAGGCGGGAGTGAAACAAAGCACTACAGATGCTCGCCACGAGTGCAATTGCAACCAGCGGCAGATGTTTCCAACCCACACAGAAACCAGATGCTGCTCCCCTGATGGCAAAGAGAGGAGGTGGGTAGTGTGAAAAGCAGCAGCCATTCCCACTCAAAGCTTCTTTACCTGCAGCAGAACTCGACGCACGTCAGCATCGCTGTGATCTGCGTGTAGCTGGCCCAGCAGCAGTTCTGCAGAGAGCCTCTGACCCACAAAGTTGGTGACTCGGTTGCCATCATAGCCATTGAAGACACCATAGAGGTAGCAGTTGTTCTCACTCCTGCCAAGAGGGCAGAAGCAAAGAGGTCACAAATGTCTGTAAGACACAGACACAAGTAACAAGTTCCTCCAGGCACCTCCTGCATGCTCAGGCTCCACCTTCTTCTTCTGAGCCCTGTGTGACAAACTACATATCACTTTTACCTGCCCTTGTGCGTGCAGGAGTCTGTCCCAAGTGCAACTCACTTACCTGAATTTTAGCCAGTTATCCTCCAAGGGGTGACCCTCTGTGCCCTTGCCATCTGCACTGTACGAACGGTTCGGAGCGGAGCCCACCCCGGAGAGATGGCAGGATGGCAAGTCATCTGTCCAACTGGGCTGCTGTTCCTGGGAGACAGGAAGAGGAAAGAGACCATGTAAAACCCAAGCAACTTGAAGCGAGGATCCTGGTCCAGTACAGGTTACAAGTCCATCCCCACTCTCTTCTCAACCCTTCTCCCTTTGCAAACAAGGCAGCACACCACACCAGCTAATAACTTCACATTCCCGTGCTGCAGAACAGGACCACTCATCACGTCCCTTCCCTCTGAAGCTGAGCTCTGGCTGCACTTTGTCTCTTGCTAACAAGAAACCTGAAATCAAATTTGCATGGGATTACGCTTGATACAGCACTGCTCTAGCTTAGCTATTCCTATGGTGAATCAGACCCTCACGCATCCCTGGCACGGGAGTACAGGGAAGGCTCTGGATCCCCGCTGGAGTACTCACCCAGGACAAAGGGACAGGGGCCCGGTGCTGCAGCCAGCTCTTAGGGAGACACCCCTGGGGCCGCCATCTCCCTCACGGCCTGCAGTCGCCAGCTGCCCCCTCACACAGCGGGGCACCCCGAAGCCCGCAGCACTGGCACGGCCCACCCCCTCTCAACTACCTGTGCCCCTCCTCAGCGCTGCAGAGCAGCAGGTCAGCCCAGGGTGCAGATCGCTGACCCCGCAGAGACGCTCGCCAGCTGGAACCCCCTGCCCTCAGGAGGCACAGGGGGCGCCAGGGCAGCAACCCACCGCCCCGCTCAGGGCGGACCTCCCCCTTCCCACACGGCAGCGCGGGGGGCGGGTGAGGAGGAGGCCCGGAGACACCCTCGCACCCACCTGGGGGGTGCGTGTGCGCGGAGGGGGGGAAGGTGCCACTCACACTCTGCAGCAGACTCCTCCTCTGCGCCGCCATCTTGCAGCAGGAGCGGCCGCCTCCCGCCCGCCCCGCCCCGCCCCGCCCCGCCCCAGCGCCGGGTCCGCTCGGGCTCCGCCTCCCGCGCTGAGGCGGCGCTGGGCAGAGCCGGAGGGAAGTCCCATGGAACTGAAGTAGTTCGAAATTTCCCGGTTGTTACATCTTCCTTCTTGTCGAGGGGGAATGAAGACATCTCCGTTTCTTACCCATGGCCTTCGGTTGTGTGAGAAAGAAGCACCCGTTGCCCGCCACTGCCAGCGCGCGCGCGCGTGTGTGTGGAGGGAGAGGGGCGGGGTTGTGAGGATCGGGGAATCGTCAAGGTTGGAAGAGACCTTTAAGATCATTCAGTCCAACCATCAACCCAGCACTGCCACTGTAACTAACCACTACACGACTAAATCATATCACCCATTGGCAGATCCAGACACCTCTTAAATACCTCCAGGGATGGTAGCTCCACTGTCTCCCCGGGCAACCTATTCCTATGCCTGACCACCATAACAGTGAAAAGAAATGTTCTAATATCTAATCTGAATTTCCCCTGTCTCAGTTTAAGGCCATTTCCTCTAGTCCTCTCACTGCAGACACAGTAGGAAAGATCGGTCCCCACCTCACTACAGCCTCCTTCCAGGTAGTTGTAGAGAGTGATGAGGCTCCCCTGAGCCTCCTCAAGATTAAATAGACCCAGCTCCCTCAGCCATTCCTCATAAGACATGTTTTCTAGACCTTTCAGGAGCCTTGTTGCCCTTCACTAGACATCCTTCAGCACGTCAATGTCCTTTTTGAAGTGAGGGGCCCAAAACTGAACACAGTACTCAAGGTGCAATGTGTACTCTGAATCCTGAATACTGTGAAATGGGGTCACCTTGGGTGCCAGAGAGCCCTGAGGGAGCCTGGTCTTGAAATGGTTTTCTAAGCAGTGCATTATGTTCCAAGCAACCTCCAGGGAAGACCTAGCCCAGGTACAACTCTCAGCTGCATCCTGCTCCATAGATGCCACATGAGGCATAAACGTGTTTCAGCTTTGAGTCTGTCTCCTGCCCTTTCCCACCCTCTTTTGCAGGCCATAACAAGGACGTAGTTGGACCATGCCCTCAGGGCAGCAATGAGAAGGTGTCTAGAACAGCTGACAGGTGGTTCTCAATACCCGCCACGCTTTGGAGCAGTTCTTGGTGGTCTCGAGTCAGGCACAACAGTAAAATCACTTGTGTGCCTGCCTGAACAACACAGACAAAACCAGAGATCACTGATTTTGATCTTTAAAATCCTTTCTAGGCAGACACAGCCTGTTTCCATTGACTCGGTTCAGCTGGGGCAGGAGGGAAGACACGAGATTCATTCTCACCACTTGCTTGACATTCTAATTTAGCAGAAGAGCCCTCCAGGAGTGTGAGTGGCATTGGCTGGCAGTCAGGCTGGGCAGAGGGGGACTTGGGGAAGAATGTGTTTCCCTGTGTGAATCATGGCTGAAGGGGCTCCAGCATGAGAGACGTGCAGTTTCAGTCATGAGTAGTAGCAGTGCAGTTGTGGTGAGGGTGGGAGCGTTAAGTAGTCTTGACTTCCAGCAGTGGCTTAATACTCTTTTAATGACATCTTTGTGGCAGATATATTTGATTCAGATGCACTTCAGAAATAATTGCCAGATAATTAACCTCATTCTATGGAATGATGGTTTTTGCTGCAGGGGATTCTGCCGGAGATTTCGAGCTTGCTGGAGATTTCGAGCTTCCTTTCCTGTAAATCTTGTCTATTGTTTTGTTACATCTGTTTTTCCTGAATATGCAAAGATTACAGATCCTTCCCCTTCACACAAGGCTCTCAGATACACAGCCATTCAGGCAGAGTTAGGTATACAGGCAGAATTACTTTTTTAAAATATTATATTGGGCAAAGATAGACGAAAATGCTAAATTTAGAACCTCAGTCTACAAACAAGTTTCCTTGTGGTTAGGCTTCTGTATAAGCTTGGTCTCACTGATGTCATTTGGAGTGTTCCTGTGGATAAAGCTGTGAATAGTTACAAATAATTAAAGGAATGGGTCTCAAATCTGTATTAAAAGTAGGATGGACAGATTTTGTACTGACAAAGATTTGTTTTCTTACCAGTATCAAGAATTCCCAGTGCTGCAGAAAAATGCAGAGCACAGCACTGTCCGTGCCATTAAAAATCTACAGGCAAGTGTCTTTGCTTTAAAACGCGATGACACTTTTTCAGCATTGCAGCAGCAGCTTATGGTTATTTAATGCCATTGAAGGTTGCAGTCATGCACCTTGATGAGCACAGTCAGACCCTGTCCTTGCTTAGAGCGCCACTGAAATCAGCAAGGCTTTGGATGTGCTCAGAACTGCCAGCATGTATTGCACTGCAGAACTGGGAATTTAGGAGTAATTTCTGTCTTTTTCTATCCATAAGTGAGTGCTTTTGAGACCAAAAAAAGCAAGAGTCTGTGTGAGGGTGTGATAAGGCAGAATGTGAACTCGATGAGAGAGCAAAACAACTTTCCTAAAGATACAAGATAGAAAAGCTGCCACTTTCCTTGTTTATACAATGACTTGTCACATCTTGCAGTTAAAAATGTGCCCTGTTCCTAATTTAAATATCTGGCTTCAGCTCATAGTCACTAATCTTTGTCATTCTGGTTTATATTTTTCTGCCAGTTTGGGCTGAACATAGACCTGGTGCAAAGCATGTTTTTCTTGATGAAAATACTTGTGCCAGATTCTGCCTGGATATTTCTGTAGTTCTGTCACTGAGCTTCTGCTCTGACTTTGAGTGAGACAATTAACTACTTGCCCTGGAAAAAAAGTGAATGGTAAGATTTAGCAAACAAGGCCATTTGCAGTGTTAAATGCACATTTGTCCAGCATTTCAGAGTCCTCCAAAGGAAAGTGCTACTGAAGCTGGTGTGCTGCTCTGTGAATGTCTGCTCACAGAGACCAAAAGCTTTGTGCAGCACTTGGAAGATGAAATACTGCACCAACTGAGTTTTTGTTGGCTGTACTGACCAAGCTGATTTTATCTTTCACTTACGCTTCTTACTTTCTGTAAGTCCTCTCAGAAATTACCATGCTTTATTCCCATGCAGCCAAAATCTCCCCAGGAATGCAGGACATTGGTCACTGAACCTCACCATCCATGCACAAGTAAATGAATTTTATGATTCAGTGACTGCCAGATATACTGCTCCCTCTCTCACATTAAACTCCCACATTTCTCATTCCTCTTTCTCTCTCTCCCCCCCTCTCTCTCCTTTTGTAATTACTCTCATATTTTCTCTGTCCGCAGTGCTAGGGATTATACACATGGTATTTCTGGTGCCAAGCTGTACCGCTGCCTTCCTGTTTTTACCAAAGTTTTCTCTGCAGGAAAGGAAGAAGCATGGTCACTGCTTGGCTGCTGGATGAAAGATGAACAGCATGACTGAACAACATGCCATGGGGAGCAGAGAGCTTGAGGCAGCCTCAGTGCAGTGCTCTTGTAGGCACTTGGAAACCGTACACAATGGGAAGCATATGCAAGATCGCTGGCAGAAGCCATCACATCACATTTAGTTTCTCTCTACTGATCATGTGTGAGATATGTTTAGGGAGATTTTATTTTCTCCCTTGTTTTAATGATAATGGAGGCTGGGGCTTGTTGCCTTGGAGTTTTTGATTCTTTAATTTTTATAGGTTTTAGAAGTAGTTATGTAGTGAATGTAGATTTTAGAAGTAGCTGTATTATATCCCTTACCCTTTAGCATAGTAGTTACACATATACTCAACCCTATTACCCCAATTCCATATCAGTTCCCCTAAATTCCAGTAGCATATTTAGTCTTCTTTTCAAGGTAGGCCTTCATTCTGTTTAAGAACATCTGCCCCCTGGCCTGGACAACAAGATATCACCCAGGACTTTGGAAAGCCTCCAAGGACTTTACGTGCTGCAAAGAATAAGATGAGGAAGAGAGGGTCCCAAAACACCTCCAGACTCAATTCCCGAGGGGCAGGGTGGGGGCAGAATGGGGCAAAGGCCGGGGGATGGACGAGCGGGAATTGGCTGGACATCATTATAAAATTATAACGCCCGGGTCAGGGGGTGTGCGCGTGGTTTGTATCTTCATTGAAACCTTCTCTTATCTTACCGCCTCCTTAAATTGCCCCGAGTTTTTTTTCTCCCTAAATCTTTTAGGTAACAGGCTGGAAAGTCATGATTTTTGGCAAGGCCTGCAGGAGGTAATATGGGAAAAAAGAAGGGTCTCTCTGACAGAGGCAGCTTGCTGCACTGGCTCTGCTCCTACAGCAGACAGAAGCGTGGTGGAGAGGGTGGTGTTGGGAGCCCTCACGCAGCTCCACCCTGAGGTCTCTCCATCTACCTCTACCAACTTTAGCCTGATGCTTCCCACAGGCACAGGTGCCCTAATGTTCCTCACTTCTCTGCATGCCACTGTTTCCAGGCATGCTGGAATGGCAAAGAAACAACATGGGGCAATAGAGAGAACAAGTATTAAGGAAGGAAAGCTGGAATGAACAGCTTCCTGCCCCCAGCATCCTCCAGAGAGCTGGAAAGCCAATGTGAAGAGCTACTGACAGAGGAAGGGGTAATGATGAGAGTGCTGATCCCCGCAAGAGAGAACCAAATATCACTGCAAAACAGTTTGTACAGAGCTTTAGGCCAACAAATGGGGTTGTTTCAGTTGTGCCAAAATACATAAAATATATAAAATATATATATAAAATATATAATTTTATTGAATTTCTTGATACACTAAACAAAGTCGCATCTCTTTGAGTCCTGGGATTATGAGACCTTTTTTTAAAAAAACCCATCTTTATAATAGAATTATGTTTCTGGATGTCATGGCTACAGGGAGAAGCTTCAAAACATGACTCATAAGTACTTCAAATACCAGAAAACAAAATAAAAGAGATTTCAAATTATTAGAAAACGCAAACTAGTAATGTTAGAGTCTTATTCATCTGAAATGCTTGCTTTTGGCAACATCTTGTCTCATCAGTTTTTAACTCCACCTGTTGCCAACGCAGACATTTGCCTTTCTGTGGGCACAGTATCTCCACAACACATCCACCCCAAGAGCTGAGACTGTAGGAAGGGTCTTGTCCAAACAAAGATTAATCATGAAACAGATGGGTTGGTCCATCAACACTTTTGCATATAATTTGATGTGCAGTTGCAATGTGTGCTCAGTTGTGTCCCCAAGAGAACAGACAGTTTGGAGGACTGGATAGAGCCTCTTCACCACCATGTGCCTCTGCTTACTGTCCTCAAACCCCACAGGGGTTCGGAAATGTGATATTCAGGTATGTGGCTGACAGACTCATTACAAAGGAATGAGAAGGAAGCTTTACCTAAGCATTAGTGTAGGATGGGATTTGGAGTTTCATTTTTACTGCAGAGACCGTTGAAACAAGATCCTTTTTAGTGGTGGGCTACCAATCACTGACACCCACTGTCAGCAATGTCTTGACAGCTTGTTTCCCAGAATTTGATTATGTTTTGAAAACTTAATGCACTACACCAGACTCCCGAGCAACGGTCACACATAGATGAATAGAGGTAAAGACACATCCAGGGACTAAACAGATCTGCTTCCCCAGGTGTGGAAATACAGGTG